AAGCAGCTGTTAACATGAGGGACCCTGTAGATTTACCCTGTAGATTTGTTTTGGTAGAATAATTTATTTTTTGTGTGCAAATTAAAATAACGCAAGCATCCAAGGCAAAACCAGGATTTTCGGAAAAGTGTGTTAATGTATATCTTTTTATTTACTTTAAAGGTGAGAGTCAGTGCTTTATAGTCAAGGATTTTATGTAGGTGACTTCATGTCCATCATGCAGCTGTTGGTGCTGATTTTACTCTCATTGGATATTTCTACTGTAACCTCCACGCTGTACCCACCTGGGTCACGTTACCCCCCCCAAAAAAATGCAAATATTCCCATGTGAAACGTTACGTGTAGACAGCTGTGAATCAGATCTCATCATCATCACCGCTCATCGCAGTATGTGACTCAGTTTGTGTGAGAAACACGTTCGTTACAACCAGCACAGAAAGCAGAACAGATGGTGTCAGACTGCATGTGTGGACAGTTTGTTCCCATTTAAAACAACGAGCTGCATCACACACATTCAGATCATCAGGAGCTCAAAACTACAAATTTGTGAAACCAGAAGATCAAAAGATCTGTTGCTGGTAAAAAACACCTCCTGTTTACGATCTAGCGGACAGCGGCTCGCAGTGCTTTACCTGCTGCAGAAAACATCAGATCTACAGAGTTTGATGCAAATCGAGAATATGTTTTTAAGAAAGCTGTGAATTTGATGGTTAATGAAGTAACTCTGCTGATCTTTCTTGTTGCAGTCTGAAGTTGTATTTGGAAAGTGTCCAGCTGACACATGTCCAGGATCTCACAGGGTACCAGGAAGCCAAGTGAAGCCCAAAGTCCAGCTGTCATCTGGCAGCAGCAGTAAACAGTGAAAGCTGAATGGGCGTAAGCTCTTTTGTGATCTGAGGGGTTGCTGTCATATTTCAGAATGACTGGATGTGCACCTGAAGCTGAATAAATGTTTAAACATATGTAACGAAAAAACCCCACAGCACACAGATGTTTTTATTTTTTGCTTCAGTCTAACCAAAAAAAACCCAAACACATGAACTCCAACAACGTGCCTCAAAAAGCCGTGGCCCCACCCCCTCCAGAGGGAACAAGGTCGTTTAAATGACTCTAATGATCAACAGAACAGGAAGTGAATTCATGAGAGTCATAACAAAGGAGCTTTTTCCTCTTCACTGCAGCTCCTGCAGTTTTTGGGAAAAGCCTCATCACCACTAAAATGCAAATCCCACCACTTCACCTAATAAGCCTCTTCATCAGCTTCCTCTTCTTTTCGGCTCTAATTGTCTGTCATCCAAAATAATCACCCCCCAGCCTCAGAGTGTCATTAAAGCGGTCATTTCCAGATTACACAGGAGCAGCATTTTGGGATGAACTGAACTCTCTTCTGACGACACAAACCATCTTTTCTGCTTGGCTGCTCCTCTAGGTGGCTTCATTACAGAGCCCATTAAGAATAATCACAGTGTGTGTGTTCTGAGCGCCTAATGCATTAATTTAATTAGCAGCATTAACGCCTTATCATCCCACAGAGAGCGGAGAAGAAGAGACAGCCGGGATGGAAGTGTGGCAGTAAAAACAGCCGTGAAGGAGGTCAGAGTCTAAGCGACAGTCGGACAGTCAGCAGTCAGTCACACCTGCATCCAGGTCTCCTCTCTGGGATCAACTTATTGCACTGTGAGGAGTCAGAATCGAATCCCTGATCCACAGCTGACTGCAAAAAACAGTTCAAACAGAGGAGGTTTTTCTGCAGAAGAGCTGGTAAAATTCCTCCTACTGCAAGTTTGGATTTTAAGCTACTGCACAATCCACTTTGTATTGTCTCTGTCCTGTCTTTGTTTATTGTACATAGTTAGTAATACATAGATAGAGTTAGTAGTAGCTTTTTATCTCCTAATTTTACCCAAATTTAGCGAGTTATTATTTATTTGTATTTCCTACTTTTATATCTCTCAAAAATATATTTTTTATATTCTTATAAATGCACCATGGGGGACTTGGGCTGAAACAGCATTTCAGTACGCTGTATACTGCGAATATTGTTGTATTGACAGTAAAGACCTTGAATCTTGAATCCTGATTTTCTGCAGCAAACAGCTAAACTGCTTTCAACCTCCTTTGAAGGTTTCTCTCTAACAATGACCTCAGAAAGTCTCAAGACTTTCATCCAGGAAACGAGGGTTCACCTCGCACCAAAACGGTAGTGTCAAAAATTTAAAAAAAAAAATATATATAAATATATATAGATATAGATATATACAGCATATACTCAGACATTAATCAATACTAAAATTACTGCTGAATGAAGATACAATAGTTGTTTTTGCCTCCTTCTGACACACACACACAGATCCTCCCTCAACAACAGCTAAAGTAGATAACATTAATAACACTGAACACTTTAAGAGGAAGGTCAGAGGTCAGTAAACCTCCTGTTTCAACAACAGTGGAATACTTTACACTCATTATAAATAGTAACCTGGCCAGAGCACATTAGCATTAGCTGTTTAACTACTAGCAGTTACATTTTGCCACCTGTTATCATTACTGTAGCAATTAGCAGCTTTAGTTAGATAAAGATAAATAATTATAGCAGCTGATCAGATCACAGCTGGCACTTTGATCAGGGACAGAGTTGTTTACGAACATGTGGAGATGTACGTGGGGTGCTGCTGTGCAGAGCAGCACAGGGACGTAGCTGAACTGAGCAGAGAGTCCAGAGGGTGGAGAATCAATTGGAGCAAATAACGAGTGAAACCTGGAGCAGAGCAGCTAATCAGACGGTCTCAGGCCTGGAGAGCAGACAGACAGACACCGTCTGCAGGATGGGGTCAACGTGTTTGAAATTCTAGCATCATGACAATCACTCTTGTTTCACTAGCCCTGTTTTAATCTTCATAAATTATTATTTAATATCTATCCAAAATGACTTCTTCAGGTTCATAAACAGCTGCAGAAGGCTCTCCTGTTTCTGTTGATAGCAGCTTGATGAGTCCTGACAGATGATTTGTGGCTGAAAGTAGATCTGGAACAAAAGCAAGAAAAACACGTGAAACATCATGCAGGAGGAAGTATTTCCCTCCGAATGGAGCTGAGCATCAGCTCAGTGGCAGCGTGACTTTAAGAAGCTGGAGGTGAAATGAAGTCTTCAGGATGTGAAGACTGAATCTAAGGGTCTGAAAGTAAATATGAAAGGACACAGAGTGATTATGTGACAGCCAGGTGACTCCTCTCCTCTAATCTCTGCTGTTTCTACAGACAACACTTTAATTCCAGAGTTTAGTCTGTAAGGCAATCACACAACAGTCTGTTACATCACTGAGTAACCTGGCCTTTCTGCCGCTATCCTCTTCCAGCTGCGCTGTGTCCTCATCACTAAACGACACGATCCTGAACAGCCAGAGATGATATGTGACGAGGAGGTAGCCTCTGACTGAATCCAGTTCAAATATGAGGCGTGCCGAGGTTTTGATTCCAGCAGACTGTCTGTAATTTCCTGAAAATATTAATAAGTTTGATGCCGTCTGAGACACTGTGAAAAAAGCTGCACGTCAGCAATTCCGCGTGAATCACGCAGATTACATCGGTTTAAAGAAATTACACAACTGAGTGAGGGAACATTTTTCCACATTTATGCTTTTATGAAGAAACGTTTCCAACATTTACACAATTCCCTTTAATTTTTTTATTAATTCAGAGACTGAAAATGAGCCTTTTACGTTTTCCACTGAGGCATGGGAAGCAGCGAGAACCGAGCCCACTCTCATGTTCACGAGCAGCAGCAGGTCATGTGACTAAATAATACATGTGTGTTTGTGCCGTGTTGTGTCTGTGCCGACAGAAACATCACACACTCACACTCAAATCATGTATGGTGCTGCAGGTCCTTGGACAGTTTGGTTCCTGGAGCAGGATTTAAGAGCATCTGCAGGGAGTTCAACAAGGCAGGAAAACACACCTGCAGCACCAGCAGCTACCTAAAAAAATGTTCCACAGACACAAACTTGTGAAGTTTTCTCACAGCAGAGAACACAACTCAATCAGAAGGTCTTACCTCACCTGAGGTTCACACGTCAAACAGTATCCTAATGCAGCAAGTGCTCGTGTGTGTGTGTGTGTGTGTGCGTGTGCGTGTGTGTGTGTGTGTGATTACAGTGAGCATCTGGTCCTACTTTCAGTTCTCCAGCTGATTCAAACAATCAACATTCAGCCTCATGATCTGCTGTTACTATGGTGATGTAACTGGTAAGACATGAACCACCTTCATAACCCTGAAAAAACACAGTTACACCTGAACATGCCTCCAAAACCACAGATCTGTGTGTGTGTGAGAGAGAGAGAGAGAACTTGAAGCTCCAAATGTTTTCTGACACACAGCGAGGCGAGTCATGATTTTAATATTTTGAATATTCAGTGTTCACTACTTCTCAGGAAGGTCGAACCGTTCCTGAAGCTGTATGCTGATCTAAAACATGCTTTGCTTTAACGTCATCTGCAGGTGGCGCTAACACATCTACACAGTTTTTGGCCCCTATGAAAAAAACATGAAAAACATGATGGAGCAGTAAAACGTGGGTTGTGAGGCACAAACAGGAGAAAGATTTCTACTCCACAGTGCTCACCACAACTCAGTCCCATTACTGACAGAGGTGTGCATCACCGAGCTGTAACTAACCCAAACTAACGTAAACCTGCAAAGCCTTTCTGTTTACATACTCAAGCTAACAACGAGCTGCATTCTCACCCCTGCAGATTCACACCCTACTGCTGAGCTTCACTCTTTCTTTTTCTGAAACGGAGGCAGCAGAGGCATGTGATCATAGAGACTCAAGTGTCCTTTTTACTGAGACAGCGGCAGCTCTTTTTCAGCACCACGGACAGCTGCCCTTAAACACTGAAAACTGATGTCTTCAAACCAAACACCAACACGCTCTTAGCTCCGCCCATTTTTGGACAAGAAGCTCCACCCACTTCATACACACATGGTCAGCATCACCTACCCCAGGGTCGTCATGGTGACGATGGTATACCAGAAGGCTGCGGGGATGCTGGTGAACTTGCTCCCGGACATGCCCTTCTCGGCGTAGAACATGACAGTGGCGAAGATGATGATGGCCATGGTGAGCGAGAAGAGCAGGAAGCCGAGTTCCGAGGCGCAGCTCTTCAGCGTGTAGCCCAGGATGCGAAGTCCCGCAGAGTGCCGTGAGAACTTGAAAATCCGAAACACCCGGAAGACGCGTAGTGTGACGAAGGCACCACTCACGTCCTCGTTGTCGGTCATGACCAGGCCGATGTAGTACGGCATGATAGCCACCACGTCGATGATGCTCATGACGCTCTTCACAAACTTGTAGCGACTGGGAGCGACCAGCAGGCGGAGCAGGTACTCCACAGTGAAGATCATGACGCACGCAGTGTCCAGGCAGAAGAAGGCCAGCTCGTACCGCTCACCACATGACATTACCTTGACACGGTTGGGCGCAGTACCGCACGGGACCGTCTCCACCACATTGGCGAGCACTGACACTGCGATGAAGAACCCGGTGACATAGTAGAAAACCAGAGCCATGGTGGATGTGTGCGGATTCTCAAAGGCGCGCCACATGCTCTCCCGGAAGCTCATGTCAACGGGCACTGGCTCGTTGGACTGTTCAATGTCCTCATCGTCCTGGATGCGCTCCTGGTTCTCACGCCGCCGGTCCTTGTAGTCCTCGTAGCAGCAGTCCCCAATGATCTCTGGAACAATGCCAAAGAACGCCAGCTCCTCATCATACGCCGCAATGCACTCCTGACGGGGGTAATGCAGCTTCCCAGTTCGGTAAAAGTTGAGGATGTGACGGAAGATGTCCGGGTCACGGTCAAAGAAGAACTCGTTGGTCTCCTCGTGGAAGAAGAAGTCTCGCTCTGTGCTGCCCAGCAGCGTGTCTGGGTAGCGCTCCAGCGTGTCCCGCCATGTCTGGAACCTCGTGCCGCTCACGTTTAGCACCAGCAGCCCGTCCTTCGTGCGCCGCTTCTCCTGGGGCGGCAGTGGCATGGGCGTGCTGGCCACCGGCATCCAGCCAATGGCCGCCGCGCGTGCGAACGGCAGCCACGCGGCCACTCCCGCCGCCATGCTGCTCCCAGAGCCGTGCGCGCGCTCAGAGAGGGGTCAGGCCGAGCCGCGGGAGGACATGCGGGGGAGGGGGGTAGCCGGGGAGCCCGAAGAACGGGCCGTACGCACCAGTGCCACGCGGCGGGGTCACGGACGTCCACGTGTGCCGCGCGTGTACAGAAACGCGTAAAAGTGGGAAAAACTCTCAGAGCGTCGCTCTCCTCTTTGATTCGCCGCTCGGACCCGCTCCACGCGCACACACGCGGCCGCCACGCATGCTCTGTCCAGGCTCTGCCCACCAACGGTCCCCCTGATGTCGAGAGCTGAGCGCGAGGAGCAGCGCGAGGAGCAGCGAGGACAGACTCGAAGCTGCGCTGAGGAGGCTCGCTCTCACACAGAGAGAGAGAGAAAGGGAGGCGCACACACTCCTCTCTCTCTCTCTCTCTCTCTGAGGGGGCGTGTCATGGAGCAGTTCTCGGATCAGATGGAGACACGCGGACCGTGTGTAAGCCCTGGCGGGCACGCGCGCCCCCGTCAGGTGGAGCAAATTGTTTTAGGCTCCACAGGGAGCGCGCAGGACGTCTCTTTGTTTTTTCCTCAGGCAGCAGAAGTCCGAGGAGGAGGAGCTCCGCGTTCATGTACTTATTACAAAAGTTGCCTGCATGAGGGAGAGCTGTGGCTCAGCAGGTGAATCTCAGCGGTCCCATCATTAACGCGAGAGAAAAAAATACTGTTTGTGTGTGTGAGAGAGAGAGAGCGAGAGAGAGATTAAAGCTCTGCGTGTGTGTGTGTGTGTGTGTGTGTGTGTGTGTGTGTGTGTGTGTGTGTGTGTGTGTGAAATATCAAACATTTCCAAAATTTATGAGAAAGAGCGCTGCTGTGTCCTTGTGTGTTTGTTCTTGTGTGGATCTGAATCTGAAACAGCTTAATGCAAAAGCTGAGTGGACACACTGTCCCAGCACACGGTCAGTATAACATCTTAACTGTGGTCTCTAATGCTTTCAGGGATCCGTGTAAAGCGCTGCAGATGGTTGAAGTTAAAGGAAATTCTCACTTAGTTTTGAGAAACTGTCCGAAAATCACTGAGCTGTGAAATAAAGTATGTCATCCTGAAACGCACTGATTCGACCAAAAGGTTCAGGCAGCAGCACTCTAATAGTCTGAAGGCCAGCTGGTCATCCTACAGACACGACTTAACAAATGCTTCATTTGGAGAGGAGCTCAAGTGGATCCAGCCTTAGAGAGAAGGAAGCAGAGATCCTGGACCTGGTCTCCAGCCGGATTGCCTGGCATCGTCAGGTCCATTAGACTCATTAGTCTAATGGACCTGATCCAGTGTTTGCCAAAGTGCCTGGGCCTGTTTTACTGCAGCTCCACACTCTCACTGCAGGAGGTCAGAGGAGTCGACACATCTGGAGTCTCCTCATTTTTCATAAACTCTGGCTGCTAACCAGTTTTCTGTTTATGGAGTGCTGTGACATCATAGCAGAGTCATGTGTATCTCCAGACTTTTTTAAAGAAGTTCCTTTCTGTCTGACACCTGTTACTCTCAGCCAGCCTGCTTAACTTTGGGATTTCCTCTCACAGAAGATGGCAGCTGAACAGCTCCGAAACATCAGTAGCCAGATGTTCGTTTGTCAGTCTGAGTGAGCCCCACTGAAATCAAGTGAAGTCAGAGAAGAGTAGGTGCTCGGCAGATCGCAGACCCTCTAAACAACATTATAAGCACCGGATTGCTTCTTCCTGTCAGGCATTGCTAACAGGAAGAAGCACACAGACTAACTTCAGGCCAGAGAGCATGTGAGATGAAGAAGAGTTAACCAGCATGTGGAGCTCATTTAAAACTGCGCAGAGCTGAATAGACGTGGCAGACATCAGGAAGAGTACCAAAAAGAGCACAGACATGAGCAGCCCAAAGAGCGCAGTCTTCATCACACAAGAAGTCACATGACGGGCTCTTAGAGACGCGCCGAAGAGATGGATGTCCATGAAACCTACACACAGAGCAGGTTGATCCATTGAGTGAGTTGGAGCTGTGCTGAGCTCCTCCATCAGCAGTCAGAGGAGGTGCAGGCAGGAGGCAGGAGGTCTCACACTGCTCCTAAATCACAGAACACAACGAAGCCAGAGCAGCTCAAATCGATGCTGCCAGTGTGTGTGTGCTGTCATTCAGAATCTTTGATTGATGGCTCCCTGCAGAACTAACAGGGAGTCTGTGTGTGTTCCCGTCTTTGTTTTTCTCGTTATGAGTTTGTGAAAATCTCGCCACTCTCCATCATTATCGACTGCGGGGTAAACATCATGGTCAGGGCCGTTACAGGCCCAGCGCTCTGAGGTGTGCGTTTCTTCTCAGGACATCTGCAGACACGGTGAATTTAATGATTTGTGATTGGCTGCACCGGGCCCAGTTTGTGTCTGCGGTCCATCAGAATGTAGCTCCACAAACCCTTGGAGAAAGCAGGGAAACACACAGACCAGGCACTGCCTTAGAATCTGTCTGCTTTGACTCTCCTCGAGCCTCTCAGAGGTCAGAGCTGCTCACACAGACCTGACTTGCTTTATTTCAGTGATTATCATTAAACAGAGACACACAAATAATCCATCGCTCTGATCAACATGCTGCCCTCAACACTCCGAGCTAATTGGCTGCCAGGGATTTGCAGGTCAAAGGTCAGTCACCTTTTTTTCCCCTCCTGCACAGAAATACAGCGATTTATTTACCACAACAACCCAACCAAACGCCTGAAGAGGAGCACCCAACAGCTGTATGACTGTTTCCTGTTTACCCACACGCACACACACAGACACTCATACACATCTAAGACAGGACAGACTCCTTCATTTCAAACATGATTGCATGATGCTGTTTTTTCACTTTAGTGTTCATGTTGTGGCTCTCTGGGTCATGTGATATCCCCTCCACCCCACCCCCATCCTATCTATTGTTGTTGTTGTTTTTTTAAAACTGGAAATGAGGATTTCATTGGCTGAGAAGAGGATGAAGACCCTAACTGCCACAAATCCATGTGAAATGCAGTCAGGCAGCATCCTTGAGTGTTTTCATGAATCTGCATTAAAGCTTGTTTAGTTGCTCTGTTATTCACACAAGGTCACCACAGTGGAAAGCTCTGTATGTTTCAGTTGGCAGATTCTAAAATGTCAGTCTATTATTAATATTTTTTTAAGTGGAAGCCCTTCATGAAATGATTTCATGAGTGACCATGATGAAGTGGACGAAGAAGACGAGCTTACTGATCATCAGGAGATGCAGCTCAGTGAGAAAACACCATGAAAACACTTCATTTGCACTTTTGATTGAAAACTGAATCATAATAGGTCATCTTTCATTTATTCCTTGGTTTGCTGAGAGTGAAGGTCATGGCAGGGTCTAAGGAGCTCTTCCTTCAGAAACAAAGCTGTCAGAGCCTTTCAGTCTCACAGGGATGTGTAAAGAAAAAAAAAAGAATTTCCAACATATTCAAAGTGAATCTGTGATTACTGTTAGATTTCAAACGACTGCCAGTGTGTCCAGAAAATTCAATCGAAAGGTAAAAAGTCTCCACGATGTGCAGGCAGCTGACCGCCTGGATGTCCCACCACAAAACGATCTGTCCTGCTGAGGAGGAAGAGAAAGTTCAGAGTAAAATACAGCTTTATTATAAAAATACAATGAGCTGCAGTAATGATGACTGACCAGCTCAGGGGAAGGTAATGACCACAAGAACTGCCTTCAAGACAACAGAAATCACAAAGGTTCAAACAAAAAATCAGAAGGGCAGACAGGAAGTAACAGGACAGGAAAAACACAAGAAAAATGCACTTATCAAAATAAAACAGGAAATGATAATCAGGGACGATGAAGGAACTAAGCGAGAGAAAGATGGACGGATGGGAAAGCTTTAAAGACATGAAGACACAGAAGTGATCATAGGTCATAACCCCAAAGGACTGAAACTCAAAGGCACCACAACTCGACTGCAGGCTCGACAGGACGCCATGAGAGGGCATCAGTAACAGCGCGCTGATCATCAGCACTCAGACTAACCCAGCGAGGGATGACGCAGAGAGAATGTTTCTTTTCAGACTAGAACCATCAAACTTCTGCTGCATCAGAGACTCAGAGAAGGAACACAAACCTAACTTCATCCACAGATGAACATCACACGTGCTGATGTTTCTGCAGCCTGAGTGCACAGCATTTATCTCTAAGACTTCAAGAAACTTCAGAGGGAGGGCGTTATTGTTCCATGTGTCTGTTCTTGGAAACATGCGGGAAAACTGGAAAATGTAAGCTGACAGAGAGCGTGGTGTGAAGCTGCTGCCTGAATAACAAAGTAACTTTAAACTTCTGATTTTCCGCCGCGGTGCAGCGGCTTCACGTCTCAGCTGTGAGAAAAAACGGTTTAATTACAGCTTCGTGCCAAACACCCTGCCTCAGATGTGCTCCGCATTAAACAGCAGCTCCTCTGACTGCAGCAGGTTTCCCTACAGCTACAATTACAGCTCATTACTGTTTCAGATATCAATTAGACCCAACATACACACACACCGGTATCAGAGGGACTGTGGCAGTTGTACACTGAACCCGATTTCATTAATAACTGACATTTAAACACTGCTGTAGGAAATGAGTTTTTAATGCCAGCAGAGACGCTCATACTGAATGTATTGATTATAGATTATTGATGATTTTCCCAGCAGTTTCATCCCTTCTGAGGTTCAGTTAAGACTAATATATTCATATCTTTGAATATACCAGCCAAGCTCTTGAAAACCCCGTCTGCAGAACCCTCTGCCAACTTTCTCCCAGTCAGTCACTGAATCTCACATGTAGAAGTAATTTTACTCCATGTCTCACAACTCACTGTCACAATCTGGTGTGTAGAGAAAGCAGGACTCGCAGGCTGGTTTACAATATCCACATTTTTTAATACAGACTGAATTGAACATGAATGATTGGAATTAAATGGGAAACACACGAGGAGTTGAAAGGGAACTGAGAGAACATGAGGGCTTAAATAGACTGGATAATGATGATGAGTGGAAACAGGTGAGAGCACAGCTGGGATAACTCTAACTAATGAAACAGAAGAAGTAAAATGAAACATAATGCACACAGACAGATGACTAACACAATAAAACAGGAAACATACGTGGGAAACTAAACAGTCCAAACTGAGGATAATGGCACCCGACACTCCCTTTTATAAAATAGATCAGTGCTCCAGAGAGATCTGTATGAGGTCTGATCATCACTTCTCCTCCTGACCTTAAAAAAGGATTTCACTGTAATGTCCTCAGTCTGAGTAACTGTGACGTATATTTACAGTGTTTGACCTCGATGAAGCGTTTGAAGTGAACAGGCTCTTATTTGTTTGGGGCAGTATATCAGAAAGTAAATAACAGGTGAAACCTCAAATGCAGCTCTTTAGTAGGATGTGAGTTGGAAAGAGTAGGAGTTTGGTTGGTCTTCTTTGTTTTTCTTTTCCTTCTCTGGAAGGATTATGTCATAGGCCAGTTTGAATTGAGAAGGTGTGGTCTGAGAGTATACAAAGCTGGACTGCGGGATGTGAGAGAGGGATGGATAGGT